GGATAGGTGTGTTGGCGCAGCTACATGACTAGCCTCGCTCACCCGTACCTCGCCCATCTCCTCGCAACGAGCATTACTCGCTAGGGAACGGTCATCTAATTATTAAGCTGCTCTCTCTCTCTCTCTCTCTTTCTCTCTCAGTGGGGTGTAAGATGGATGGGGTGATAACAGATCGATAGTCGATCCGTTAGAATCGATTTCGTTTCAGTAACAATTTTACGTCTTCACAACAAATCTCGATCACTCTCTCTCTCTCTGTCTCTCTCGCGTTAATTGTTCGAGTAAAAAGTTCTCGCGTGTTACCGCTAGAGTACTGCTATTTGAAATCCGCGAAGATGGCGCCTGCGCGGACATCTCCCGCATTGCGGCGCCACTTGTTCCGACCCGTCGACAACCAAAAGCGCGTCGCGCTGAAAAACGATCGTTCGACGCCAAAGCACCAACAGAGAGCAAGAAGGGTTTACCCTGCGGAAACAAGGCCGTGTGCGTGCGTTGCGGCGCGTGCGTGCGATGCGCGGTGCGTACAAGCTCGCGTTTGCGTGCGTGCGTGCAAGCCCGCGTACATGTGCGTGCGTGACTGCTCACGTACGCGTGCGTGCATGTGTGCGCTGCAGTGCGTAGGCCTATGTGCGTGCGTGCGTGCGTGCGCAGCGGTGCGCATAATACTTGCTACTTCGTGCTCTAATGAATGACACGGTGCGTTTGCTTGCTTACCACCACGCAGAGAGGGCCACGACTACACGCAGCCGCGGACCCTCTACAACTACGACGTCGAAGAGCCGATCTGGGGTCGAGCTGACGTCGACGTCGTCTACACCGGAGAGCAGCAACCTGTGAGACAGGCGACGCAGACGCTGACGCGCACGCAGACCATCGCCAGGCCCGTCGTCACGGGCTCTGTCACCGCGGTCGTCGGCCGACCGGTCGTCGCCAGACAGACATACGGAGGCGTCGGCGGAGGCATTGGAGGCATTAGAGGCGGCTACGGTGGCGTCGGCATCGGTGGAGGTATTGGAGGTGTTGGAGGCGGCATTGGCGGCATTGGCGGCATCGGCGGAGGCATTGGCGGCATCGGCGGAGGCATTGGAGGCATTGGAGGCGGCTATGGCGGCATCGGCGGAGGCATTGGAGGCATCGGTGGTGGTTACGGAGGCATAGGAGGTCCGATGCCGCCATAGCCGCCTCTAACCGGAGGCATTGGAGGCGTTAGAGGCGGCTATGGCGGCATCGGCGGAGGCATTGGAGGCGTTAGAGGCGGCTATGGCGGCATCGGCGGAGGCATTGGAGGCGTTAGAGGCGGCTATGGCGGCATCGGCGGAGGCATTGGAGGCATCGGTGGTGGTTACGGAGGCATAGTAGGAGGCAGCTACAGCAGCCGCACCATCGGAGGAAGCTACGGAGGCGGTCTCGGCGGCTACGGGGGAGGAATCGGAGGATCATACGGAGGCGTGAGCGGCAGATACGCCGGCGGAAACATCTACGGATAGGCGAGCGTCCGCGGCAACGGTTGCGATATTCCTCCTCCACCAACCCACCAACCCCTCCATTTAGTTCTATTTTCGATTTGAAGAATCACACACTCGCGTGCTGAGATCAATCTAACCACGCACGCACGGATCAGTCGAGTTTAATCCTGTTGCTACCCGTTCGAGACGGTCCCGAAAGCTTCAGATGATGCCTTGCACGTGCCCCGTGCTATATACGAGCTCATGTGTACTGTGTATACTAGTGTATAGGCGTGCTTTATAGGGCCTCATATGTAGTGCGGCAACCATTGCAGTTTCCTCGTTGCGTCCCCATAGTATGTATGCTTCTAGCATCACCATCCTGTCCAATTCTTACGTCGGATCACGGCGAACAGCCAGTATGAAAGCATTCTAGGATATCGTAACCGAAACCACCACTTTATATGAACGATTGTAATCGTGTTTGAATTTATGTTTTGAGAGTGTGTAACTTGTTTATTATATCACTAACTATTCTATTTCGATGGCCTTGTCGAAGTCACAATCGCATTGCATTTATAAACAACGTCGCCTTCATATGTTATTTATGGATCAGAAATATACCTCTCATGCTCGTGTGTTAAGCTGCAGTGAAACATGGCATTTATATATACATACACACACACATATATATATATATATAGTATGATTGCAATTTTTATTTGAAAAAAGTTAAATAAAATGTTAATGTAAAATATACCTACCGTCTATGGCGTCATACTTCGATCCGGTTTGGTTTTTATTTGGGGTTTCATCGCACGCGATCGCCCGATTTCGAGTGAAATCATCAATGATTGATTATTGCTTTTGTTCGATTGTTGAAGCGAGAAGTTACTTAAGATGGGGAATGAATTTAAGAAAAACATTTCAATCATTCAATGAACACAGAAGCGGCGATTTTCCGAGAGTGTTTTGTATCAAGACATTTCCGAATGACGTCACCGATTTTTTTCTCTCGCTCGCTTTCGGAGAGACGCCGCTATTATTGTGACAAAAAATAGACAGATGTCGAGTCTTATATATATATATTTTTTCCGTAACTAATCAACATTAAGACATCAATACCGTAAATAGTCAATGATAATTCGTCTATACCGTAGTCATTTAATTAGAAACTAGAATTACCGTCAATAATCAGCGAGAAGTCCACTTCCGTAAAAAGCCCCATAGGAAGCAGGTTGCCAGTAATTCCGGGTACAACTCAATAGCGGAAACTATTGAACTACCATCGCTGATCAATGGCGTATAGACTTTAAATATCGATTCCTTGCATTCTTCTTCCCGCAGACAAGGCCACGAGTTCTCTCAGCCACACGCGCCAATCACTGGCTTCTCCCGTGTCATCGAGGACGGCCTGCTGAGAGGTGGAGTCGACCTGTGGCGGCCCCTGCGGCAGCCACGCGTCGCGCATGCGCGGGACACGTATGGCGGAGTGAGCAGCCATCCGTTCCGCGGGAGGTTGGGAGTGACGGCACGCAATGGCCGTATCGCTGGTGTCGCTGGTATCGTCAGCGTCCCCAGCTTCGGCATCGGCGGCGGATACTCCGGCAGGATAGCTGAAGGTATCCGAAACTACGGAGCGATACCGGGTATCGTCAAGGGCGTCGACATTCATCATAGCGACAGCGGTTCCTGGGGAGATTTCGACATCGTATAGAATGTTTCGATACAATAAATCCCGATCAGTGTTTGTTGTGCTAGGTTTATTATACACGATGATTTAACTGCATTTATATTCATGTTCTCTTTTGTGTTATAAAGGCGTAATAGAGTGTAATTGTTGAATTTATTGTTGTTTGTTATGAACAAATAAAAAAAATGTTAAGAATATGACGTCGTATTCTTTTTAAGAAACATAAATGTTACCCATTAAAACCACTTCCTATAACAATATAAATGACCTAAAGTTTCTGTCTTTTTTCTCATACGAACTGTACTACCTTGTATCTGTATTAGATGTAGGTGCAACTAAAAGTATTCTTACACAGCACAATTTACATATCGCGCCACCATTTTCGTGCGCACGCGCCGACTGTAGTCTGCTTGACAATGTGCGACGTCATGCCACTCCGCATTTGTACTGCAACTAACAACAAGAAATTCATACCACGAGGAAGATGACGACAGTGACGATAATGACGATGTTGACGATTACGGTAGTGATGGCACTGACGGACACCGACAATGCTATTAAGATAATGACGATAGTGATGGCACTGGCGGCGATGACGATCATGACGACATAGGCTTTCCAACGTCGCTGCAAGCTTGGCACGTGTACACTCTGCAGATACACATACATAGATGCTCGTAGCATTGAGCTCTTGTTTAAATTTCCAAATATAAAACGACTCGTATGTCGTAATTTTCGGTACATTATGTGTTCAAAATCGGTACGCTACGTGATGCAGCCGCGGCAATTGTGACTTTCTCTCTGACTTTATTAAACGTTGACCTATATATATATATATACACATCACACTATGGTGCAGGCATGCCCACAAGCACAGCTACTATGGCAATGCAGTATGTAATATGAGTGCAAATACATTCGCCGTTTATTCGACGCAACCGACTTCGAGGAATTTCATCTGTTAATGTGCGAGGTAGCGCCAAGCAGTGAAGGCACATTACGCGCGCCATCACCCGAACTACGCCGTTACAACAGCTACTGCCCGTCTTACGTACCATCCGCATAATTATTCAGTATCATATTATGCGCGCCCTCCCATGCGTGTCTCCCAGCCCAACCTTCTCGTTTCGATTTCCCTCCTCCGCGTTGCCTGTGCATATGTACTATTATCATAAATTTATGTGAATGTCGTGCTAATTGTTTCTGCATTATCATTTACAAAACTATCGCCCACGTGCCAACATATATGTCATATTCAATTCAATTCAATTCAATTCAATTCAAATCAATTAAATCACGTTATTTATCTTCACGAAAGCTTAAATAGTACTATATTCGTTGAACAAAATTAATTAATTAGGAAAGTTGATAAATATAAAAGATAAAACTAAATAGATCTTCATAGACTTGATAGCGACGATAGAGACGATCACAGATTGACCATTAGAATGACCTTTAAGTCGCCCAGTCCGCCACCTCCATAGATCACAAATAATGCATGATGACAAAATTGCCATGTAATGAATTATACATAACAGGTGAAACCAGAGTAACTGACTTTATTAGTTAAGTTCAAGTAAAGTTTACTTGATAACGTATAAGGATTATGGTATAGATGACGTATTTTAATTAACTACCACAAACAAAACCAGCAGCAGTAGCAGTAACGCTAGCACCATCATAATTATCACCACCAACACCCACCACCAACACCGCCACCACCAACACCAACACCACCAAAACCAACACCACCTACACCAACACCACCAACACCAACACCGCCAACACCAACACCACCAACACCAACACCACCAACACCGACACACCAACACCGACACACCAACACCGACACACCAACACCG